GTGTCTGTTTTTGTGCCAGTACCATACTGTCTTGATGATGACAGCTTTGTAATAGAGCTGGAAGTCCGGAATTGTGATGCTGCCAGCTTTTCTTTTCTTTTTCAATATTCCTCTGGCTATTCAGGGTCTCTTTTGGTTCCATACAAATTTTAAGATTATTTGTTCCATTTCTTTGAAAAGAGTGGATGGTATTTTAATGGGGATTGCATTGAATGTGTGCATTGCTCTACAAATACAAAATTAATACAAAAAATACAAAATTAATACAAAAAAATCAAATCAAAATAAACAAGATGAGCTTCATATTTAAAAAAATCAAATCAATGGAATTGACAAGAGAAAAATAAGCATGCCCAATAAACAATATCCAATAACCAAAGAAATACACATAAAAACAGCAATCATGTACATTTTGTGCCTATCAGGTTGATAAAGATATAAAGACTCAAAATACCCTGTGTGAATGAGAGTGACAATTCACACACTTTCTTGGAGAAAGATCCATCTTGTTTTCAAGAGTACAGCTTGACAATAGCATATGGTATGTGTGTGTGTGTGTGTGTGTATACACATATATACATATATACACATATATATACATACACATATATGGTAGCCATGATATATGTTATCTAGACAAAATAGTTACAGAAAAATATATTAGAGTTTGATCAAATTTATACAAATTGGTATACTGGTATGTCTATGAATGTTGATATTTTCATGGACATTGACCAAAATATTAATTGTAGCTATGTCAAGGTGGTAAGACGTACTGTCACACTGTTATATTCTTATTGCAAATACTTTTTTCTAAAAATATTACATTGCATTTATAGCTCTTCTAAATTCCTAATTATTTTTTTCACAACTTTCAGGTATTGCCTTGATGATTGCTGAAAATTTGTTGTTTCAATATTGTTTCTTAGGTTCATTTCTATATCAGTATGCTATGATATTTTATTAATCTGGATCAAAATGAGAGTTCCAATCTCACTCTTTGGCTTGTTAACTTTTCTTTAAAGTATACTCAAGTATAATTTAATATAAGAGCATTTAAAAATGAGTATTTCATACAAGGGGTAAGGATTTTCAAACAATAAAGATTAAATGAGAAAGTTAGTGCCTGTGCCTGATTATTTATTCAGCATAATTTCAGGAAGAGTCATTAAATAATAAAAACAAGGAATATTGGGAATCAGCAAAGCCATTATTACAATAACTACCAATAACTCCCCTCACTTTTCTTTTTACTTTTGCTTCTTATACAAGCAATTTAGATAAGAGATAAATTCAGCATAACTTTTCCAAAAAATAACAGCATAGTAGAAAATATCATATAATTGTATGTATTTTAACCAGCTGATTTTTTTAATTTGCACAGCACTGGTGTATATTTATCATCTTCACCATATGAAAGTACAATTAATTAGAACATTTTAGTTTCCTTAAAGCAGTATGATCTTGGAGGAATAGGTACACTTTAGTTGGAATACATCTGAATTGACCTCAATTCTGAAATTATTTTTGTATGAGTTTATTTCCTGGCATTTTATTTCATAAATGAAATTATAAAACCTGTAAGAAGCGGGTTCTTTGGGAAATTTTCTGTATAAATGTATAAATACACTATTTATATAATAAAAACATATTTATATATCATACACACTGATTACACTGATAAAATCCATCAAAATAAGAAGCATGTGACCAACGTGCCCTCCACCACTGCCAGTGCTAAGAGCCGGAGTCGAACTAAATGATTCCTAAATGACATGTCTATTTATTTTAAAAACGAGTATCATTAATTACTTTGAGAACATCATATAAGAAAATGGCATGTAATACAAAGCTATAGATGTTGGCATCATTTTTAGTTTTTATTCAAAATTGAAATAATTTTTGTTTTATCATGACTATATTTCATATCAAATAGAAAACACCAGGAAAAAAGCATAAATAAGAACATGAATTTATCTTTATATCCTTGCTCTGTAATGCTAGCTCTTAGAGATAATTGTTATGAGTTTTGGTGATTATCCCTCTAAATTTCTGCTGTTATTTAAAATGTGTACGATCATATAATAGCCTCTTTTAAATATTGTTAGCTTATCCATATACCATGATCACATTTCCATGTGAATATAAAGTCTTTAAAATAATTGTGTACATATCCGGTTCTGGTGTCATGGCCACCCCTATGCTGAATGCGTTCTGGCTGCAGTTTGGGAGCCGGTTCCTGAGCGATCCAGCACGAGTCTTCCACCATAATGCCTGGCACAATGTGGAGTGGTTGGAAGAGCAGGCCTTGGCTGCGAAGAGGAAAGTCCAGAAGAACAGCACTCAGAGGGTGTGCCAGGAGTTAATTATGAAATCAGGGCCCACATATATTGGAATGACTTCTACAAAATCCATGAAAATGGGTTTTTCCAGGGCAGACATTGGCTTTTTACCAAATTCTCACACTGGCACCTAGCCAAAACCAAAATCACGTGAAGGATTTGCTCTCAGAGAACATGAGGAGTGAAGTACCTGAATGTTAGAGCAGTGACGACAGACCTAGTTTAAAAATAGAAGAACAACACAAGTGTTCTTCAGATAGCCTTGGACATAAAACACAGATGCCTCCTGTGGAAGAAAATGAACTCAGAACTCAATCACCCGGAAATCTGTGCTGATGAGTTCCTTGGATCCTCAGCCACCTACTGAATACTCGAGCAGTTGTACCAGACAGGATGCAGAAGGCTCTCCACAGGCTGAAGCCCGGAAAGACGATGCTTCTGCAAGATTAAGTCCCCTATGATACCGCTCAGCTTCTGTTTAAAAAAAGGTCAGTGTCTGTCTGAAAATTTCTATGTGAGAGGTGATGGTATTAGAGTTTACTTCTCTAACTGGATGAGCTGGATACGCTTTTCACTGAAAAGCGTTCAGAACCTTGGTACATCGCCGAATGCAAGTGAACCGAGGGAAACAGCTGACAATGTACTGAGTTTGGATGTTAATATATAAAATATTTTATATATAATAATTATTATATATAATTAATTATATATATAAAATAATTATTAGGAAATAATTGTGCTTCATATTTGTGAAGCCCCTTAATATATACTTTCCTCAAGTTTTTTTCTAACTTTGAGATTTCAAAGAATCTTTCTTGCCATTTTATAATTTATCATAACTGAAATGTTCATGGGGATCATGAATTTAAAAGGCATCAGAAATTTATTTCCATATGAAAGGATTATATATGATAAAGTGTCATTTGATTGTGAGTTCCATTAAATTATTTCAGAGTTCAAATACCTGGACTAGGCAGTTGATACACACAAAGGTGAATAAAAGTCTTGTTCAGTGAGAAGCATGTCAAGAAGAATCATCTTGGGCGCCTGGGTGGCTCAGTCGGTTAAGCTACTGCCTTCGGCTCAGGTCATGATCCTGGAGTCCCGGGATCGAGTCCCACATCAGGCTTCCTGCTCAGCAGGGAGTCTGCTTCTCCTTCTGACCTTCTTCCCTCTCATGCTCTCTCTCTACCATTCTCTCTCTCTCTCTCTCTCAATAAATAAAAAAAAAAAAAAGAAGAATCATCTTTCTTTGGGTATTTTCCTGACTCAAAAATACCACTTGAAAGAGCATCAAAACATGTCCTTGTTAGGTATTTGATCATGGTCCCCCCCTTAACCTTAGTTCTGTGGAATTTTAAGCACTATTCCCCTTCTAAGTAACCTCTTTCTAAAAAACTAAAAGGATCTTTACTTTTAGAAAAAAAATAAATAAGTAAAATAAAATAAAAAATAAAATAATTATATACTATACCACTGTATCTCAGTATAAAAATATTTTAAAATATTTTAACACCTTTATATAATCTCTGTACATCAACTATTAGCCAAAAAAAAGAGAAGGTGTCTTCTGGGGGATAATTAAGTTGTTTCAGTGTATGTCTGATACGTATTTGAGTCATGTGTATACCTGGGGCATATGAGAGAGTCAGAACCCTGATCCAGAAGTAAAACCCATTCTCTAAAATTTACCATTTCTATTGAGTGGTCAGCTAGAGAATATTTTCATCTTGAGAGATACTGTAAGATAAAACCATGTCTTTTTTCTCATATAAAAAGATTTCCTACTCTTAGTAGAAAAAAAAATAATGTGCAACTCAAAGAACATGCCCATTTAGTATTCATCTTGAGTCTTAAATCCTAAAACAAAATTGAACAAATTATTATTTCTTAAATGTTTTTATTTAATTACATAAATAAAAAAACATTAAATCGAATGGATTTTAAAGAAATGGACTAATCTAGAAATGGAAACCAAATTTGCATATGTAATTGCTAATGTTCAATAGCACTGCACTGTGACAATACATTGTGTCTGAGGTTCAGGGGAAGCTGCCAGGGAGTTAAGTCACTGCATTTGTTATCAGTAACTATGTATATTTATACTAAGTACTTTTCAAATGCTCAGAACAAAGCAATTTAGGCATTTTCTTCATTTTAGAAGCAGAAAATTAATTCTAATTATCAATTTCTTATGTTAGTGGTATAAAAGATAAAAGAATAATAATTAAATTGGGTTAGCATTTGGTGAGCACAATGAGACAATTGAAGAGGAATTAGTTTCTGTGCAGGATGAGAGACATATGGAAAATTACTGTGGAACACAAATTTAAAATATTATAAATCAATTTAAAGGATATTTGATTAGTTTGTCAAGAGGTTTAGAGAGCATGATAGAGAATCAGAAAATATGAATAGGATCAAGCTTATGTGTGTGTGTATGTATGTGTTTACATACTAGCTATATGTGAAAATTACTAAGTTTATTCATGATAAATATAACATTTGAAAATTAAACAAAAATATACCAAAATCTTCATATTAAAAACTAGGACCGAGACTTCGACTCCAACAGAATTTTTATTTTTTTTGTATACTTTCCTGTTTTTTTGCAGTATTTCTAACTCATTCAAAGATTTTACATTCCACTGCTGTTTACAATGTACTGTGAAATGTTTTTGAAATCTGTCATAAACTTCAAATTTACTTTTATGCAGTAAAACTCAATTTGTTTGAAGCTGCATTTAGTATTAAGAACTATAATCACTGATTTGTAAAGTTCTATGTACCTTAGAGTTACTTACTCCAGAATACCAAGTTTAAATTACACTTAATATCTTTCATCTTGAGTATGAAAAGGTGTATCAGTCAGAGTCCATTCAAGAGTCAGAAATCATACCAGTAGCTGAAGAGGATAATTTTTTTTTTTGAAGAGGATAATTTTTATATAAAGAATTATTAACTAGTAACAGGGAATCAGCTACTAAGAGGCCAGAGAGAACTCTGAACAGGGGGATAAAAATAGGGGGAGCAGCCGCAATCTCTAGGGTTTAGGGAGAATAGTAAAGAAGGAAACAAACTTGAAAGAAAGGGGGTCTCTTCTCTGCACACACACAACACACGCACACACACACACACACACCCTACTGGAGAGGGTGGGGCCCTGGTTCACCGGCTGGTAGAGAATTTTGGCAAATTGCAGCAGGTCAGGATTAGCAAGTGAGGAACCCCAAGGTGGGGTGCTGCAGAAAGTCTCTGGGAAGCATGCAAGCAGCTGCCAGTGAGATTCGCTGGGAAGCCAGCAGCTGAATGTCACACTGGGAGAAAATAGGAAAGCAATAGAACCAGAAGAGAAAGTCCTTCCTTTTGAAGTGTCTCTCCACTGCTCTCTACTGACAGAACCTGACATTGTAGCAGCTAGCAAAAGAAGAGATTTAAAAATGTGATGCAGCTCCAGTATCACAAAGCAGGAAATAAAAGGTGGATTTGGGGTTGAGGGGCAATTGGTAACTACCATAGAAGTAAAGGATGGAACATAAGCAGTTTATCGGAGTGTATTTGCAGGACTCCAATAGCTATTTTGTTTGTTTTTGTTTGCTTGGTTTTTGTATGGAGGCCATTTGCTTTGAGTTCTAATGTTACTATTTCTGGCCTCTCAACTTCAGTGTACGAGGACTAATAGAGCCTTTGCAGCACATTTATTTTCAATGAAAATAATGTTACATTACACTTTATCACACATGTGTAGAATGCATTCCTATCCTTATTTTCCTGATGAAGAAAACATAGTTTATGGAGGCAAAGTAACCATCCCGGGCCTTAGAGCTAATAGGGAGTAGAGTTAATACTTGAGAAAAAAAACAAAAATGTGCTCCTGATTACAAGGTACGTGCTGTGTCTTTTGATCATAATGATTTTTAGTTCACCCCTGGAGCTTCTGCTATATTCAATGACTTTCTCATGCTCAACCAACTGTTTAAGGGCAAAATATTAGTACTAGAGCTCACACTGCTCAGTCTTTGCCTAGGCAAAGATTTTTTCATTATGTCTTCCATTCCTGAAATACTGTGAGTGGTGTTTTGCTATATAAAAGAGACAAAAAAAGAGGCAGTAGAAGAACCAGTATATGTATATACTTTCATAAGTATATGAAAATACTCTGCACAACTTAAAAAATATATTTATCGCAACCATCATTGGGTTAATGTGTATTGGGTATCTGTAAAAGTTGCAGAGTTAACATTTCTGTAAATAATATTCTTTGGGGCAAGGTTTAAGCTTTTAAAATAACCCCATCTGACCTTACCTGATTGACACTAAAAGTAAACAGTGCAATAATGAGCATATGTCCAAATGAGAATTACTGAAATGTTTAGAATTTTTTGATTCAGAGTGAAATAAGATCTATTAGAGCTGACTGCTGGCTAGAATTCAACTTCATACTTATAGTTCTATAAAATGTTTATCACAATAATAATAAAATGAAAAGAGAGGCTACTTAAAAAAAAAACCCTTAAGTTCCCTATAAAATAGAAAAAACATTTCTATTCATCATAGGTGAATTATAGAGAATACATGAGAAAAACAATGTGCATTAAGATTTGTGACTATGGAAAGAGCCAAGATGTCCATTGACAGATGAATGGATAAAGAAGATGTGGTATATATATATATACAATGGAATATTATGCAGCCATCAAAAGGAATGAAATCTTGCCATTTGCAACAACGTGGATGGAACTGGAAGGTATTAGGCTGAGCGAAATAAGTCAATCAGAGAAAGACATGTATCATATAATCTCACTGATATGAGGAATTCTTAATCTCAGGAAACAAACTGAGGGTTGCTGGAGTGGTGGGGGATGGGAGAGATGGGGTGGCTGGGTGATAGACATTGGGGAGGGTATGTGCTATGGTGAGTGCTGTGAATTGTGTAAGACTGTTGAATCACAGACACGTACTTCTGAAACAAATAATACATTATATGTTAAAAAATGATGAAGAAGATAATAGGAAGGGAAAAAGGAAGGGGGAAAATCAGAGGGGGAGATGAATCATGAGAGACTACGGACTCTGAGAAACAAACTGAGGGTTCTAGAGGGGAGGGGGGATGGGTTAGCTTGGTGATGGGTGTTAAAGAGGGCATGTATTGAATGGAGCACTGGGTGTTATACGCAAACAATGAATCATGGAACACTACATCAAAAACTAATGATATAATGTATGGTGATTAACATAACATAATAAAATTAAAAAAAAGATTTGTGACAACAGTTATCATGGGAGAATTCATCCAAATTCTCATTGCAGCTCTGTTTATTAGTTAGGGATTTAGGTTATTTGTCTATGTTACTTCCTTTTGACTTTATTCTATCAATTAATCTATTTCTATAATTTTGTCCATTCATAAAACCCATTCTGCTATGTTAATATAACTTATTCAGTCATTGGGGGGTTTTCTTGTAGTGGAAACAGAATCTGAAATGATTCTCATTTAAGGATGATTATATATTTACACTACATATTTAACTTACACTTTTTTCTATTCAAATTTCTTATGACCATCCATAATCTAACCCCAGTTATCTCCCTTATTTCCTATCACTATCACCCCCAGGCACTAAAATTCAACCAAGAAGAACTTCTT